CCAGGTTGATAGAGTCTCAGATGTGGCACTTACTTGCTGGCTCTATGGCTCTGTTGAGGGAGAGTTCAGAAAAGAAATAATGGCTTCTGTCCATCCACCTTTCTGTTTGGGAGAAAGCTGTCCCCAAGCTCTTGCATTGATTCCAGGTACTTCAATTCTTAGCCATATGCCACTGGTGCCTTTGAAGCTGCTACCTTGGTACAGCAGCTCAGAGGGAATGAGTCTAAATTCATATGTGGGTTCTATAAGAGGAAGTGCTTGGGATTCTAGAAGTTTCTTCAATGACTCAATCCTGTGGGGTTTTGCAGCCAGAAGTTATGGGGACTTACCTTCCTAGAACTGGAACCCTGGGTTGGAGGGCCTGGTATGGGGGTGAGACTTCTCTCCCTCCCCGGTATCTCTGACAAATTTTTATGCATAATGTGTGCATGGGACCAGCCTATTCTGTGTCTCTGCTCCCCTGTTCCTCCTACCATTCTGCATAAATGTGGTTTCTTTAATTCTACAGTTGTCAGACTCCTATTCAACTCAATTTCTGATAGTTCTAAGTGATGGCTGTTCTATAGTTCAGTTATAATATTGATGTGGTTGTGAGAAGAGGCAGGTTGTATTTACCTATATCTCTATCTTGACCAGAATTCCACAAATTTCCTTCTTTAAAATGCAACATTTTTTTACGATCTACAAGCTAAAATAGAATGTTCTAACTTGCTGGGTGTTTTTGTTATTTTATTAAGATTATTTTCCACTAAAGTTATAACTAATTTAGATTGTTTTTAGATTATATTATTAAAGTAGACAATTGTCAACTATTTTAAACAACTGTAAATTCAAGGCATTGTCCAATAAAAAAAATTGGTGAGGAATTTAGAAAAGATCAAAGCAACAGAGACATCATTTCACAAATACAGCACTTTGAAATTGCTTAATATCATATGTATGTCTGCAGTATACTTCAAAATGTATCAAAAGATGCATTAATAGATATATAATGGAATGTATTAATAGATATGTGATAAAGAAATATAATGAAATATGAATCATCAAATTTAGACAGTGTATATGGATATTTACTAGAAATTATTTAAAATACACTGTATGCTTAAAAATTTATAATGAAATATGAGAAAAGTGCTTATAATCCTCAACTGTAAAGTACTATCTAGTATGTTTTAACAAATTATTACTTTATCCTTATAAGCAAGTTCACAAATACCTTTATATCCATATAGCTTTACATTTGTTTCTGTAATGATGGGTACATCATTGCCAAAGTAACTGTATTTACCTTTCAGAACTCTTTTTTTCTAACATGCCTTAAAACAAATATTTCTAGAGTACTTTATTTATGCTAATGAAAAGTGTAAACCAAAATTTAAAAAAATAAGCAAAAGGAAACAGTAGTTAATTAGATAAACAATCCAGCATGGAGTTACATACAATAAATGATAAATATTTCTTTGGATCTTCGATATGCACTCATAATGAGGATTTTTATAATCCATTAAGGTTATGACTACTTGGTTAATTTTTTAAAAAAGATTAAGAGGAGTGACTAATGAATGATACCAGAAAATATTAACTATAGCAGAGATAGTTATTACTTATCTGCTGCCAAGCAATCATCACATAGGCTTTAAACTCTATGTTGTAGGCATATTTTTTGCATTTAAAAGTTCTTTATCTAGTGAAGAATGCATGGTAGTGAACAATTATCATGAAGTATAGGTACCAGTGTTATGGCATTTAAAATTTAGAAGAGTTATATAAAATATAGGAGAAATTCCTGTTCCTTTCTTGGAGACAGGGACTCAGGGCAAACTCCCCATACTGAAATTTTTTAAATTAAAAGAAATTAAAACACAAAAAATGTCCAAGGCATTGGATAAATGGCATAAATTTAGGTTATGATTATACACTTTAATTTCTTAAGTGTGAGAAGGGCAACAAATATACATGTTCAAAATCACAAATACCATATGATCTCATCTATAAGTCAAACCTAATCAACAAAACAAAACAAGCAAACAAAATATAACCAGAGACATTGAAATAAAAAATGAACTGAGAGTAACCAGAGGAGAGGTTGGAGGGAATAATGGGGGGAAAATGGGGAAGGAATTTCAAGAACATCTGTAAGACACATCAACAAAACCAAAGGAGGCTAGGATAAAGGGTGGAAGGTGGGAATGGCTGAGGTGGGGAGAGTGGTGGGGAAATGGAGACAACTGTACTTGAACAACAATAAAAAAATAAATACAAGGAAAAATAATCTTTATTGACCTGTCTTCTAATAATAATAGCTGCTATTTTATTACTTCCTTTGTGATTATTACTTCCTTTGTGATTATGCTCTTTTATTACTTCCTTTGTGATTATGTTGGGTTTGGGCCTGGCATCTTGTAAGCATGGTCCTTTCAGGCTCTAAGATCAAGTGCTCCAGCACTGGAGGCAGACACTTCATTGTCTTTTGTGATCTAGCCTAAGAAATTGTACAGCATCACTGCTGCCATTATCTGTTCTTTGTAAGACAGTATAAGATCATGTACATTCAAAAAGGAGAGTCAGAGTCTAGAAGACACATGGGAAGGAAAACATTATGCCATCTTAGAAAAAATACTGTGTATAAAATCTCAAAAAAATAAAATAAAACATTTCTTCAGTGATTTATTGTCTACTATGTGCCACAAACTGGGAATATTTATTTCCATACATCTCCTGCAAGGTAGCAGTTGTAATTTAATGATAAATGCCAAAGAAATATATCTAGGAAATGATAAAGAAGAAATTTTAACTGATGGTTACCTGATTGTAATTTTTTCCACTGTATCATATGGCCTATCCATTCATTTAAAAAAATGTTTTAACAAAGAAAATGTTGAATTCTCAGATGACATCAACTTCAACCATAGGTCATCCCTCTGGTACAAGGGTTCTGTAAGTTCAGTAATGTGATACATTCTGGCAATGTCTTTGCCTTCCTTCTGTGATGATACCTTTGATTATTGTTCATAAGTTGCATTTTTAATAGTTATAAACTAATTAGCATTTGTACTAGCATTAATTCTTAAACAATTTCTGTGTCAGCAAAGATAATGCATACCAGTATGGCTAACAATTCTATAGAACTAATCACCATTCTATATGTTTAGTACCATGTTGCTGTTAAAGAGTCTCTACCTATAATCTGGTATGTTACTCACTGAAGTATTATTATTCTTTTTATAAAGAAGGAGATGATAACTTTAAAGAAAGTTAGTAACTCACTAAATACTTTTGAGTCTGCTCTTTGTACTACTCAAAAGTATAATCAGTTCCATATATAATGCATGCTTCATTAGACTGAAATTTAAAGACCATAGTTTGTAGTCATTTCATTGTATTCATCCTCTAAGTTTTTGTTGTCAGCTACAGATTTGCTAGAACATTTAAAAGGATTTGAAGAGAAGTAACATAATAATAAACACCAAATGCTATACATCTGTCAGCAACTAGTGGTTGAGGTTCCACATTAACCAGAATAATATAAGAACTGAGAATATTAACATCATTCACCAATGTTAGGATATGTCCTGTGTCTTGAAAGATTGAGAAACCTACCAAAAGCTAAGGATAAACATTTGGGACTATAGTAATACATTTTATAATAACATTAAGAATAAAATTAATGAGAAGTGCTAGTAGCTGGAATGAAGTAAATGATCAATAAATGGTAGCCACAGGAGAAACAAGAAGCAACTGCAGCAAGTGGTGAAGCCAAAGCAACTTCACAGATAGGTCTGTATTTAGCAAAGAGGCAGTGATGGAGTGTGCATTTGAAAATTATGAGGCAAATAAAACAAAGGAAGTGGATGGAGTAGCCAAGACATTTGTTTAAACTGATGGGAGACAAATACAAGGCCATACCATGGGTAACAACAAATCTTTAGAGAAATACAGTAGAAAAGTGAGTGGCAAAAAAGAAGTGATAAGCCACAATTCCCTCTTTAAACAAACAACCTACAGGCTAGGGACAGATGGTAAGAAAAGTCCAAAGAGAAATATAAGACATAAATGGAGCATTCTCATAGAGATGCAGATAAAAAACTAAAGAATTAAAAGCTAAGAAAAAAGCACCAGCTTATATATTTATATATAAGGCCCAAAAAAATAAAAAAGGAAAACACCTTGGTAAAAGAAGAATAAGTGCATGAAAATAGATAGGGTCATTCTTTCAAAGAGTTTGAATGCAGGCTATGACTATTACTCCCTGAATTTAATAGGTACAGGAATTTGAAAGAATAATGCTATTTTTAATCCATAGTTTAAAATTACATTTGGATTTTTAATAACATAGAACTAAAATGTTCACTTTGGTGTTTATTATTTACTTATTCTTCCACACTGGAATATAAATTTATAGTTTATTCTAAGACAATTATTGTTGTAAATCCTATAGTAAGGTAATGGAAATAATTCAAATTTTGAATGTTTTAAAAAGTAGTGAATCTTTTCAATGAGTTATAAACACATAGCTAAATAGTTAAAAATTCTGAAAATTTGCATGAAGCAAAGCAAAATTAATTCATTTACTTATTTTTTAACACATAATAACCTGAGAAAAATATGATGATATATAAATATTTTTCTTTAAGGGTTTATAGTCATATCCAAAATATAGTCAGAAATTTTTAAAGCATTTTAAATTATAATTTAGTGTGGAAATAACCAAGAAAATGACTTTTTCAATTCCCAGGTTATTTTAGTGTGATGCAAATAAAATTCATAAGGAATTAAAACCAAGAAATGAAACTGTTGTATGTAACTCCTTGTAAGTTATGCCTTTAAGTGAAAACTAACCATTAAAATCTTTAAGTGATTTTTCTTTTGGACATGAGATACAGTTCAAAGTAAAGAGAAAATGTGTGTTTTTGCTCTTTTGGTCCTAAATTACCCCACACTTTGATTCATAACAGTATTAATGTAGTTACAGGTGGTTTATGTGATGAACTTGGTTTTACCTTTGCTTCAATCTGTTTAGTATCTGGATTCTGAAACAAAAATTTGATTTTGCTCTTGCCATCATCTGAAGAACCTTTAAGCTGAGAAAATTTATACCTCCAAAGGACAGCCTAAAGGAAAAAAAGAAACATGTAAGTCAATACAATTAATATATTCATTCAAATCAAGATAGAGTTCTCTCTTAATTGGAAAAAGTTAATTATATTATTACTATGTTCCAGTATTAAAAAGTAAATTAAAATATATTTATCCAAAGCTACAATTTAGTATTCAATATATACTTGTATTTCTAGAAATAACTTTTGTATCCATGAAATAATTATTTCAAAATATACATACAAATAAATCAATTTGAGTGTATTGTTTTACCTTATCATGAAATAAAAACAAGATCACATAAAGCATTTGTTTATGCCAGTGAATAAGCAAAAACACTATTTGTTTCTCTTTATTCTTTTTTTCCCTTTTATTGAATTTATTGGGATGACACTGGTAAACAAAATTATACAGGCTTCAAGTACACAATTCTACAACACAATCTGCACTCTACATTGTGTGTTCGCCACCCCAAGTCAAGCCTCTGTCCATCACTATCAGATCTTTTTAAAGTTAATTTTCCTCTACTCTGATTTGCTGTATTACGTTGTGCTCCATTTTTTTTAAACCAAGTAGACTATTTTACTTATCCCCACAGGAATTCACCTTGTAGGTTCACCTCATAATTTCTTCAGATTCCTCTTTGTCCCCATGTTCCATCACTCTAAGTATTAATTATGCCTCCCAGTTACAACATACACACACAGATAGATCAAGCACATTATCACTGTCTTTATCTGAGCTATTAATAAAAGTATCAAATAGGACAAGGTCAAGGACAATGTCCTCCACCCTGATAGACTTTTCTCTACCCTAATGTCAGTTCATTAATCAACAGGCTTTGGGTGAAGTTGTTCACTAGAAATAAACTGAAAGGATAATAATCTTCTAACATGTGAATTTCAATGTTACTCTATTTATAAAGATCTCATGAGAGTCCTTGTCATAAGATTTGCTGAAATCAAGAAATACCACTATTTCTTACTAGAACAAAAAGAAAATTATTAGACTTTAATATCTGAAAATCTATTTTTGAATTTCACTAAAGGTCTATAGTAAACTTATATGTCTACAGATTCAAAGGTTTATTCCCTGATGCCCTTTAAAAATGAGCATTACTTTTGTTCAATTTCATTCTTGATGATTTCTTAAACATTATCAACAATCATTCTCTGAATACACAATCCACAACAGGAACATTTCAGGCCAGAGGGGAGTGGCATGAAATATTCAAGGTGATGAAAAGCAAGGACCTACAACTAAGGCTACTTCACCCAGCAAGGCTATCATTCAAAATCAAAGGAGAAATAGGAGCTTTCCAGACAAGAAACAGCTAAAGGAGTTAGTTAACACAAAACCAGTACTGCAAAAAAAGGTAGAAGGCTTGCTTAAAAAGAAAAAGAAAAGCCCTGGCTTGTGTGTCTCAGTGGATTGACTGCTGGCTTGCAAACCAAAGGGTCATTGGTTTTATCCCCAGTCAGGGCATATGCCTAGGTTCTGGGCCAGGTCCCCATTAGGGGGTGCATGAGAGCCAACCATACATTGATGTTTCTCTCCCCCTCTTTCTTCCTCCCTTCTTCTCTCTCTAAAAATCAATAAATAAAATCTTCTTTAAAAACAGAGAAAAAGATATAACAATAAAATGGCACTACATATGTATCTATCAATAATCATCTTAAATGTAAGTTACTTAAATACTCCAACCAAAAGACATAGGGTAGCTGAATGTGTAGGAAACAAGATCCACACATATATTGCCTCCAAGAGACCCATCTCAGACTGAAAGATACACACAGGCTAAAAGTAAAGGGATTAAAAATATTTTTATGCAAATGCTTATTTTGCATCAATGGAAATGATAATGTCATTTTGTATTGAGAACTCTATAATTTTGTAGAACTTTCTTTTGAAGCTCAAACTAATAACCTGTAGTTTTATCAAGATGAAAGTCAATCTAAGTCAAAAATCATGACAAAAATTTAGATGATGGCATCATGAGATTGAACTAGAATAGACATGTTATAGAACTAGTCCAATCAGACTATAATATCTGTTTGTAAGAGTATTTAATGAAATATTTTCACATATTATAACAATAAGTTTGATAATATGAAATCTATATAAGAACCCAAATACTGACTTCCAGCCAAGATGGAAGCATAGGTAGATACACTTTGCCTCCTCACAGAACCAAAAGAAGGACAACAACAAATTTAAAAACAAAAAGCAATCAGAACTGACAGAAAAATGAAACTGTATGGAAGTCTGACAACCAAGGAGTTAAAGAAGAAACACTCATCTGGACTGGAAGGAGGGGTGGAGACAGGCAGACAGGCAAATAGAACTTGAGGCAAGGTGGCAGCTGGAGGACTGGGGCTGGTGAAGTGGTGGCTGCTGGAGTGGGTGGTCCTACATTTGAGTGCAGATTAACCTGGGGGAACAACTCTAGAGCAAGACAGACCACTCAAACCAGTGTTCCAGCCTGGGAAAATGAAGCCTCAAAACCTCTGACTGAAAAACTCTGTGGGGGTTGCAACAGGGGGGAAAACTCACCGCTTCACAGGAGAATTCACTGGAGAGACCTACCGGGTCCTAGAACATACACAAGACCACCCACCCAGGAATTGGCCCTGGAAGGGTCAATTTGCTTGTGGGTAAGTGACTGAAAGCCAGCCGAGAGCTGAGCAAGCAGCATTGTTCCCTCTCGGACTGCCCCCACAAACAGTGTAACAACACAGTGACATGGGTTGCCCCACCCTGGTGAATACCTAAGGCTCTGCTCCTTACTACATAACAGGTGCTCTGAGACAAAAATAATAAAAAAAAGTGGCCCAAATGAAAGAACAGATCAAAGCTCCAGAAAAATTACAACTAAGCGACAAAAAGATAGTGAGCCTATTAGATGCAAAGTTCGAAACACTGGTAATCAGGATGCTCACGGAATTGTTTGAGTGTGGTCACAAAATAAAAGAAAAAGTGAAGGCTATAAAAAGTGAAATAAAGGAAAATGTACAGGAGACCAACAGTGAAAAGACAGAAACTAAATCTCAAATCAATGGTTTGGATGAGAAGGAAGAAATAAACAGTTGAGCAGAATAGAATGAAGAAATCAGAATTCAAGAAAATGAGGTTCTTAGGAACCTCCTGGACACTTTAAATGCCCCAACATCAGAATCATCAGGGTGCCAGAAAGAGAAGAGAAAGAGCAAGAAGTGGAAAACTTTTTTTTGCTCTTCAATTACAATTCTCTGCATTTACCTTCTCACCCCAACCCCAGTCATCCCCAACTCTCTCCCCTGCTTTCACACCCCCTTGGTTTTGTCCATTTGTCCTGTATAGTTGTTTTTGAAAACCCTTTCCCCCATTATCCCTTCCCACCTCCCCTCTGGTTACTGTCAGATTGTTCTTAATTTCAATGTCTTTGGTTATATTTTGCTTGCTTGTTTGTTTTGTTGATTAAGTTCCAGTTCCAAATACATGGTATTTGTCTCTTACCACCTGGCTTCTTATTTGAAAAAATAATGGAGAACTTCCCCAATCTGGCAAAGGAAATAGACTTCCAGGAAGTTTAGGAAGCTCAGATAGTCCCAAAGAAGTTGGATCCAAGGAAGCACACACCAAAGTACATCATAATTACATTAGCCAATACTAAAGATAAGGACAGAATCTTAAAAGCAGAAGAGAAAAGAAGACAGTTACTACAAAGGAGTTTCCATAAGGTTATCAGCTGATTTCTCAAAACTGACCTTACAGGCAAGCAGAGGTTGGAAAGCTGTATTCAAAGTTATGAAAGTCAAGGGCCTATATCCAATAGTACTCTATCCAGCAAAGTTAACATTTAGAATGGAAGGGAAGATAAACTGCTTACCAGACAAGGTAAAGTTAGAGGAGTTCATCATTATCAAGCCCTGGCTAGACAAAATGTTAAAAGGATTTAGCTAAGAAAAAGATGATAAAAAATATGAACAGTAAAATGACAACAAACAACTATCAATAACTGAACCTTAAAAAAAACAAAAACAATAACAAACTAAGCAAACAATCAGAACAGGAACAGAATGAAAGAAATGGAGATATCACGGAGGATTATCAGTGGGGGAGGCAGAAGGGGAGAAAGGGGCTAAAGATACAGGGAATAAATAGCATAAATGGTAGGTAGAAAGTAGACAGGGGGAAGTTTAGAATAGTATAGGAAATGTAGAAGCCAAAGAAATTATATGTACAACTCATGGACATGAACTAAAGAGGGGAGAACACATTTGGGAGGGGGTGTGCAGGCAGAGGAGAATAAATAGGGGAAAATGGAATAACTGTAATAGCATAATCAATAAAATATATTTTAAAAAAGAAAATCATTCTGTAAACATTGTATCTTCAGAATCCATTAAAAATAAATGTTAAATAAGAAGTTCATACTTTAAAAAGTATAAAATGACAAAATCACAAATCCCTTAAAAATAAGGATAAATTTTATCTATAATATAAAATATATTATAATATAATAATATTTATAATATTATTATTTATAATATTATTTATAATATTTATAATATTATTTATAATAATATTATTTATAATAATAATAATAATATTTATATTTTATCTATAATATAAAATGTATTCACTTATATATTTATATAAGTGAATTTATATAAAATGTCATTCACTTATTATTTATTCATTAACCAAAAATTATAAAATGGCAAGTATATTTTAAGCATTTTGCTAAATATTTTTATAAAGAAGACAGTGTCAATATCCTGAAGATACTAATCTCTATACCAAAAGAGTCTGTGTTTCTGTTTTTACTATGAGTATATAATTTTTAAAGAAGCAATACCCAATTATTACAGTTTTTCCTTAAATTATTTCTTTAAATATAATTTCATACAGCATCTCAAGAATAAAATTTTGATGGGTAATTAACTTTCTGAAAAAAAACCAGTTAAATAATTTATCTCAAAACATCCTCTGAATTAAATATCTGTTGTAAAAAGTAAAACAATTTAAACAA